TCTTATAAATTTTCATTTTAACCCTATAATTTCTGTTTATTTCAAAATTTATAGGGGGTTTTATATAATTGTCTAAGGGCTAAAAAAATAAACCATAATGGTTTGGGCCCGAGCTTTGGAGGAGGGCCCAGTGGAGGGACCGAGCCCTCCTCCTTAGGCTTGATCAGGTTTTGGGACCAGGCCTGCTTGGACCGGTCCTTGAGAGGACCAGTCCTAAGATCAGGTTTTTGGGCTACGTTTTTTGACCCGATCCCAAATGCCCAACTCTACTCTAATACCATAAAATCACCAACAAATCTTTATCATTAGACAATCTCATAGCTATTACCTCCATAATTATTATCAAAAAACATACATTAATTACATTTATCACGATATTTATAATTTCTTAAAACCAAATTTTGGGAAAAGTGTTGTTACTTACCACCTATAAGTTTTATCATCATGGTGGTCTATTAATGTGTTTTGTTTTATTTGAAGTGTTTTATAAATTGTGAAAACGTATTTTTTTTTTTTTATTATATAAACTTTTTTTTTTTAAGTTCTAAATAGCTGTGGCATTCTGCTCCTAATTGAGGATGTTACTGTTGGGATTGTGCCTTGAATCCCATATTGCTTGGGAATGGGGTTGCAAAGGGATTCTCCCCTTTAAATAGACTAGTAGATTAAGCTTTTAAAGTATCTCAAAAAATGTAAATAGACACCAAAAGAACAGTCATTGTGGGCTGTTATTAAGGATGTAATTGGGCTTTTTGGGATAGTGTAAGGAGTTTGCAATTTTTCTCTTCTAAAAATTGTACAGTTGTAAGCTTTTGTTTAATGGATTATTTGAGTGGATAGTGGACGTATACTAAATTGATTGGGCCGAACCACTTTAAAATTCTTGTGTTTGTTTTCTTTATTTATTTATTTATTTTGTTGCTTGCTTTAATTTTACGTTTGAATTATGGGGATCTTTTTTCAACAAGTGGTATCAGAGCCCACGACTTGTGATCTAGGAGAAGGCAAGCTCGAGAGGAGGTTGGATTTAAGAGTAGATCAACGATTGTCAAACATCTCAAATTTTTTGGAGGTATGTCTAAGTTTAAGGCTCCTTTATTTGATGGTAATATTAATTTTATGTTATGGCAAAGTTCAATACAAGACCTTTTAGTACAACAAGGTCTTGATCAGACATTAGAAGAGAGTAAGCTAGAGAAGATGTCTGATAGAGAATGGAATAAAATTCAGAGGAGAGTTATCAGTACAATTAGATTGGCTTTAGCTCCAAAGATAAAGTACAACATGCTGACTGAGTCTACACCAAAAGGTTTGTGGGAAAGATTGGAGGGTCTTTATGCATCGAAATTGTTGACTAACAGGTTTTGTTTGAAGATGGATTTGTATTCTCTGAAGATAGATGAAGGTACGAGTCTCCATGATCATTTAAATGAATTTAATAGGCTAGTATCTCAATTGTTGCCTATTTTTTATTAGTTAAAGGATGAAGAAAAGACATTGATATTGTTGTCATTTTTGCCTAAATATTATAGACCTTTAGTTCAAACTTTGTTGGTAGACATATCTACTTTAAAATTAGATGATGTGACTGAGCTTATTGCATGAGAATGAAAGGTTTATAGGATCAGAGAACCTATTATTTAGAGAAAATCTACTAGTTATAGAAGGTTCTAATCGAGGGAGGACTCAAGAGAGGGGTGATAAATCAAAAGTCAAAGATTACAGTAATAAGGATTATTATTATTGTGGAGAGAAAGGATATATCCAACCACGCTACAAAAAATTAAGGGAGGATATGCTTGCTTTCAAGAAGGCTCAACAGATGAAGGATTTAAAGAATGATGCTTGGGTTGCTAATAATGAAGGTGAATTTTTAGTAACATGTCAAGATGAAACTCAAACTTCAAAGGGTGAAAAAGGTTGGGTTTTAGATTCTGCTGCATCTATGCATGTTTGTAATGATAAAGATTGTTTTATTGAATTGAAAGAATTCATATACATGAGTTCATAAATAAAAACAAATGCCTTGAGAAACTAAATTTTTTTTGAGTTAGTTATGACTTTGTGTATCTATTTAAATTAATATTTTTTTTAATAAACATAGTTGATTGTTGTGAGCCAAAGTAAACAAAAAATAATATTAATAAGGTTAAATTTTAGTGAACCCCCTGTAGTTTTATTTCTCATAATTAAACCTTTTATATATATACAATAAAATTTTCTTATAGTAATATTGAATAACCTCTATATAGTTATAAAAAATTATAGTCTCAACTTGGGATAGTTATAAATAGAAATAAACTTTAAATTATAATAAGTTATAATTTTTTTAATTCACATCTTAAGAAAGTTTCCTCTTACATAATAATAATTATCTGTATATTGTAAAAAAAAAAAAATATGTTATGTTATATTAAAAATTTAAGATGAAATGAAATATTTATCTAAAGTTGTGTTGAGACAATGATTTATACTTTAAAGTTGTTACCACATCTTTTAACTGACAAATATATAATAACTTGCTAACATAGATACCTTCTTGTTGAAGTTAAAATATTTCTAGTTTCTCAAGCATGTTAAAAGTTTTTTTGTACTAAATGTTTTGTATTTTCGTACAATTATCTTCAGGATTATTTCTTTTATCTTTTTGTCTAATTGTAGCAATGACTACTAAAACAATAAATTGAAATCCTAATATTAAAACGTGAATTATAAAATAAAAAATTAAAACAGTAATTTTTGTAGTTACATCCCTATTAAATTATAACTTCATTATAATAATAAATTGATGTGTTTTAAGATGATTGAGTAACTTTAAATTTAAAAATAAATTAAATAATTAAAATAGATTACTTGATAACCATGCAAAGTTACCATGTTAGTTTGTAAAGAATAATTTGTATAAATAGTTTCTATATGTAGCATTATTACTCGATATATATATATACTGTCTCCTTATACACATCTAGATGTGTATAAGAGACAACTCCCTAACTTTTTTTTTTTTTTTTGGCCTATAAGATCAAACAAGTAATAAACAAACA